TCATTTTAACCAAAATATGCAATGGATGCGGATGTGAATGATGTAAATGAGTAATAGATATCGAATATCTAACAAGTCGTCAGCCACCAAGGTCTAACAAGGAAAAGTACGAATGGCCAGCGATTTGTCATGGAAAGTTGAGGTACTACAATGAATAAAAATTTTGTATACATTTATTTATTTAAAGTATTAAATAATTTTTTATTAATTTAATGCTAGAAAAATAGCTAAAACCGAGTAAAGTGCTATGAGGAGAAGTGCAATCTGTGCACGTTTTCTTGAGCTCTGAGATCTCTGCTCTAACGAACAATCGTTTTTTAAGTTGAATTATGAATACAGGTACCAAGGATTCATACAAAACAATTCGCTGCCATGTTATAAACACTATTTGCAAAGGCAAACCTGTTATAACTTTTGAATATTATCCCCTTTTTTCTTACTTAAGGTCCCTTTTCAACTACTAAGGTGAAATAGTGACCACTGTAAGTAACATTCTGGGTAACGGTAATGATATAGTAAACCCACTACTCTTCAGGCATGAGGCAGCAACGGTTCTTCAGCCTTAGTGACCTCGAATATCCAGACCGGAGATAATCCCTTATCACACCCTTCCTGTTGCAATAGACTTACTGCAGCAAGATCATGGAGAACGATTATATGAATAACTACATTTTCCACTGAGCTCAAGGAAAAATGTACAGATAGTGAAGTTACATTTACGGCCAAAGGCAAAATAATAGATAACCTCAGCACTTCCCGAAAGTGTCAGGGAGACTGGAAAAAAAAAAGATACCATTGAGGGTCATTGATCCAAAATCTGAGTTAGAATACTTGTGTCAAGCTTATTTAGACATTCAGAATTATATAGTGCAAGTGGCAAACAATACAATAAAAATCGTTTAAATCGATTTATTTTCCTTTGTGATGCTCAGTATAGTTTCTTCTTGTATTGAAACAGTAATGCAGCACCAAATATTTTTCTTGGCAATTAAACTTGTGAATCTATTTCAATTGTTTAATTTCTACTGGCTTGAATTCAATGAAAACTATTGGTGTCACAGAATGACACAGTATTAATTTTCTATTTCCTTTGGTCTCGACTAGCTACTAGAACTTACCACATATTCTTGCCTGCTGCCATCTATCGCCATCCAAAGTACATTTTGGGGGGAATTTCCTTAATTTTTCGGCTTTTTAATAGTAGAAAGGAAATAGTATTTTAAAAATGTTAAGGAACAATAAAACCTTGTCCTAAATGGCGGTTTTCTTTGAAAAATAGGAGCGGTTTTTAAGAAAATGGCGCTTATGTGCTACAGTAAATTCGAAATTTGAAGCACTTTCTTACGGAAAATGTTTAAGTTTTAGAAAAACTTCAATTGAAGCACTTTAACTCACAAATACAATAGTGTTTACAAATTGTTGGAATGTGCATATAACCGGCGTGAGAGATCTGCACAAAAATTACATTTGTGTAATTTTTGAAAAAATAATACTCCAAAATTAACTTTACCACATATTACAGAGTGCAATTATCACTATCATTTCGAAAAAATTAAAAAAAAAATTGGAGTCGTTTTTGAAAAAATGACGTCCGGGCGTTTCTAAAAATGCGGAATTTGGAGCTGGTTTTCACTGAAAACAGTTAAGTTTTCCAGAACATTTATGTGACATTTTTTAAAGCATATGTTCTCATAAATATAATATTATGAACAAATTGTCGCTAGTGTGAACGACATTATAGACTAGTCAAGAAATTACATTTTTGTAAATTTTGAACAAACAAAAGAATAGATCAATATGGTGTTCATGTCATCTTGTACAGTGCACTAACACAATCCCTACCAAACGTTTTTAAAAAAATTGGTACGGTTATTGAGAAAATCTTGTTTTTGAAATTCTTTAAAACTTCAAATATTGCACGCAAAATTGCGCGAAAACGACTAAAATTTTAAGAAAATCACGACCTTAATAAAAGAACGAATTATGGACAGCAAATTTCATTTCAAGGAAAAATATCTTTTATTTTATAGTGATCGAAAGTCACCGAAACAAATTCACACTTCTGATATTTTTGAAAATTCAGAGTTAACCGTGAAAATAGGACGTATGCCCCTTTTTGAGTGTATGTTCCTCCATTCTTACAAGAAATTTAAAGAGAAAATTTAGAGCCGTTTTGGAAGAAATTTTGAGACCGTCCGGGGGTTTCATGTAAAGTACTCCAAATTTTAAAGAATTGTTTGAAAATCTCAAAGATTCTACTCGTCCCAGATGGACAGAGCTTTGTTCAATTTGGAGAAAATCGTAATGGTTAAGCGCTAGTAGTCACAGACGGACATTTTGAAAAAAACTTTCTCGGTATCTGGGGACCCCAAAATATATATTTTTCCGTTGAAATATCGTAAACAATTTTCCACAGCATTACATTACTTCTTCCCTATTCTAGGTATAGAATTACTCCGTATAAACGTACGTATTCGGGAAATTAAACTACGCCAGCGGACCGGAGAAGGATGTAGGATAAATCTTGAGTTAATTTTGCAACAAGATGCAATTTTTAACACATAATCGATTTATAAAAACGACACCCGGACAACCAGTCTTCAGTACTTCTTCGTGTCCTGTTAGATTTTAATAACGAAAAGCTTATTTATTTTTAATGTGTATGTCCGCGTAACGTGTAATGTTTGTCGGCGCCGAAGATTTAACACTCGCGCCAAAATTCGCTTTTTTACTTCATTTGTCAAAGAAATTAGTTTGGCCGGTCCTCAACAGAGCGCAGCGCGTTGTTAATGCAAGGTGCGAACGTACTGTCTGGGCACAAGGCTAGCGCGTTTGCGTGCGGTATACGGTTTTGAGTGAAAATTTTGTGACATTTACCTCAAAGGATTTTTGCCCTACATTTTTGGAAGATCAGTCAATTTCTCCATTTGTAAGATCAGTGTATAGACTTGGTTTCATTGACACTTGCTGTGCAATTGAGCATTTCCTTTGACTTGGTCACTTCTTTTGACAGAAAACGCTAATTTGGCCACCCAGAGAAGTTACTTCAGGGCAAATTTCTTCAATATGGTATTCTTCAGTTCACATTTCTTCTGTTGCGAACGTTTATTATGTTCAGCTTTGTAAGTGGGACTATTGTTGACTTGAACAACTTACCTCGAACGGTGTTAGTGGTGAGTATTAGCTAGCAAGTTTAGGATTCCAGAGTTGTCAAGAGTGCAAATGAGAGAGAAGTGAACTGCGATGACGTTCTTCAGGATAAGGTAAGGTCAACAAAAGTGCGGTGCTTATACATACCGTTAATGTGTAAATTATTAGGAAGCGAATGAGCATGTAAAAAATAAAGTGAAGGGATGGGAGTAGAGATGAGGAACATTTTGCCTGTTAGCTACATTTGATTATTTTTTCGTGTTTTTATTTTAGTATGTATTTTTTAATATATATTTGCATTACATATACAATTTATATTATTATTTTTTTTGTTTAATACTTGAATGTATTCACATTAACATTTTTGTTTGAACTTGTTTACGTAACTACCACCGATCGTACGCGTATTTACAGTAATAATAGTACATTATTTATTATTAATAATAATAATAATAATAATAATAATAATAATAATAATAATATTATTTCTTAAGGCCCATATACAATTTCAACCGTGTAAGACGAGTCAAGTATTCTGTATGCGTGTGCACATGACTTCCTGACAACGAGATTCAGAATTCATTCTCTTTTACTACACACTTCTGTGAATAAAAGTAGAACGTAGCATTTAATTTAAGAAATATTCACCTCTCTGTGACAGAATTGCATGGGACCTCCAGATTTAATTGTAAATACACTACTTATTAACATATTTTCTGCCACTGACAATTGAACTCGATTAATTTCTTGCCTCGAAGAAAGCTCTATGATCTCAAGGTGTATTATGGACTATAACGCATTTCCCACCTAATATTTAGTTATTAATATGCTGGTATAATTTTTCCCCCGCAAACACCCTTTCGAGAGCGTGCGCCGCTGGGATAGAAAAATTCCATTTACATTCCGCTAGACAGCGGTGCGGTGGGTTGAAACGTTGCAGCGGCGCCTGGGGCTGACCGGAATCGCCCTTCCAGCCTGTCCTTCATCGCCTCCTGGAACACTGATTTGGGGGACAGACGGTTGGGAACGGTTCTGGTTTTAGAAGCCGTAAGCAGGGCCCTCCAACTCTCCATCAAAACCGGGGACAAAGCTTGAGGGTGCTACTATGTGAAGCGCTAGAGTCGCTGGGTGCAGCTGCAGGTTAGGCTCGCCAACTTTCCCACATACAAATTGGCTAATTTGTGAGAAATACGAAAAGTGTCTTCTAAATGTTCAATTATTCATAATCTATACTGATAAGAAACCTCTGAAGAAAGCGCGAACATAGACATTATCTTTTGTAACATTATGGGCCTGCTTACGACCCGCGAACTCGCGCAACAGCCACGCACGTTTTAAGTATCGTTGGTAGCAGTTCGTGTTTTCGTTCCTTCAAACAAAGTGATGTAACCAACGCAATGGTATCCACCACGTTATATGGGAATTATAGGGCCCTTGCCGTGAGTCCGTCACGCAGGGTGACTGGTCTGTGGCTGGGAACTGTGCAGTAGACATTGTAACGTGTCCGGAGAACCGTGGCTTTTCATTCTCTTAAATATTTTTTGTAATGATGTAATTTTAATGCAAATAATCCTAACTCCATCAAAGACAATTGTGTCGTTGCTATGTAGTTAAAAATTGAGCGAGTTTCATGGCGTATTGCATAACTTCAAATGCATAATAAGATGTGTGATGTCGTGTTCAATTTCCTTGTTGGCTAATCGATCTTTGGTATTTCCAATAAATTCAGTTGCCGCTGTTTTCCCTTGGCGAACGTTGCTGTCCATTCGCCTTCTTCTTGAAGTGATTTTAAATAAAACACTTAATGTTCCAAAATATATTGTTCGTGAATCCGGGTTACCGCAATCAATCGGCAAACGATTAGCTTCTCCGCCCCTGCGAATATCTTTTCTGTATCCTAATACCACCGATGAATATCCTTAAATATCGTCCTGAAGTTTTCTCTAGTATTCTTTTTTTAAATAATTCCTATTTTTGTTATTTAAACCGGAATATCACTTCAAATTCCTCGACCTCCATTCAGTCATCCATTTCTGCCGAACTCGAGCTAGTCTCTCTCTAACAAACGTGTGTCCATAACAACCGCAGCTTCATACCTAAAATGTCTTTTTCTTACGAGTTTATACACTCGTACCATCTTGATATCGTAGGTTAGCTTTTTATGAAATGTATTGTAATTCTAGTGTTTTGACTTTTGTAGCGTCGTGTCGCGTTACAAACGGAGTCGACCATGTGGCACTCAGCGGGCATCGCCGGATGTTGAACAAAGGGCGGAGTGATGACGCACTAGGACTTTCCTTGGACGTAGCGCGGTCAGGGAGGCGGTTAGCGTTTAAGGGCCTATATAAGACCAGGAGAACAATGCCCCAGTCTTCTTGTTCTAGCGGCGTCGGCGACAGGTCGAGTAAGTGGCACCAGGCGGCGAGGGGGCCAGTTATTGTGTCGTGACTGTTGCGAGAACGCGTAGGATGGTCTCGAGGTAGTGCGGTGCTTCACGTGGTAGCCGTTCGTAAATTCTCTCTCCTTGTAATGGGTCTATTTATTTAGTTTATTGTAAGCAGCGTAGTTGTTCAATTGAAACTACGGTCTAGATTGTGAATAAATCTACTGTTTTACAAACCATTCTCGCCTATGTTCCGATTACACCCGTATGACGCCACACATTACATAAAATGACAGTTTTGTTTTGTCCTTTCGCTTTGCAGTTTCTCCTCTGTACAAATAAATGCGCAGATAGTTCGCTCTGAAACCTATTTTCATACTTTTTTGTCCTCCATATTTTGAGTTTTGAAAAATCGTTAAAAAGGTCTCTCTTTTGTTAACACTGCTAATAAATAACTAACCCTCTACTCATCTCGGGCCAAGCAAAACAGAGTTCAAGAAAACTTCTGCGAGGAGTGAAGTTAATATTTGCTGTCTAGAACCAAAGCAAGGGGCCATCTCAGCACTTTCTCGGAACGGTCAAGGAAAACTGGACGAAAACTAATCGAGTAGCTCACTGAGATTACAGCTGAGTTACAATACCATTCTATGGTTCTCACCATATGCGGGATGTCATAATATACGCAGTAAGGATACATAGTTAAACTCAACTTTACATCTCAAGAATATCAAAAAAGCTATTGTTCCACAACACAACACTACACGTGAATAGAAAATATTTAACGATGGGCAACTCTTAACTTGCAGCCTTGCTGTCGCACGGCTATAGCTGTTTCGTAAGCAGTGACGCCCAGTGAATGATAATTCAATTAGTACGCGCATTATGAGATTCGCCGGGTTAAACAATCAAATGTTTGCAATTTTATTCAAAATCGAACATTTTAATTGTAATCGGGTTTGTTTCAAGTTTCAAAGTATCGGACGAAACAATACTTACCTGTCAAAAGGCTGGAGGCTGCAGTGATTTCTGTGCACATTGTAAATTTGGTAATGCAGATTATGTCCAAAATTATGAATCAAAAAAGGTTGTATTTTATATTTTTGGTGTGCAAATAAGTGTGATGCGAAATTCTGCTGTGTAAATGTAGCACCCATTGCAATGGAATGGCTCTATTGTGAATATTCGGACCATTGTTCGAAATTCTATGAAGATTTGTATGCATTACCATTTGCGTTCTTATAAATTGTGTCAGTAATCATTGAAACGTGATTTGAATGCGAAGTGTCTTCGAAAAGCTTACATAATAATATTAAGGTCAGGGATATAACGGATAAATTATAAATAAAATCAACATATCATAGTTTATTATTTCCCTTTTGAGAGAGTAGTATGATGGTTCTTGAAACTTCAATGGCACAGACGCCTCAATCTGATGCCATAGATTTCAGTATTCCGGTGATCTGAAACAATGTGTAGAAGATTGTTGGAAATTGAAATTCATGGCTTGGCTGACAGAAAAACATGCTTTGCATGAAAACTGTTTCTAGTACTAGTTTACCCTGTGCAAAACAGTATATACGCTATTATATTTGTCGCGAAATTACACTAAATTGTTTTTAAGGAGTGAACCAATTTGAAAAAATTAAAAGGTAGGTTTGTTCACGACTTTTTGCTTCATTTTCATTTAGTTTTTAAAGGGTACTGATCAGAGCTGCTGCCACTAAAAATAATATTTTTCGAGTGATTTTACACGAGTGTTGTATGTGTGTGAAGTTTTCGAGAAAACGGCGTAGCCGCTCAATTGTCGTGGTTTACTTTTACAATCACAAACACTCTTTTCCTTATCCGGTAAGTCAGGTTGCTGCCGATCTTAAGTGCCTCGGAAGAGGTGTATGTGTATTTAAAAATATACCATAGAATTATCCACAACGAATACTTACTGCTGTGCCGGCCTTGGTCATGAAACATTTCACCGACCAAAATGCCCTTTCACCGCAGTCGCCTGAATCTGAAAAGTGAGTGTCAAAGTGAATGCACTTCAATTAAATATTTCTTTATTGTCACGAGCCTCAAATGAAATGGAAAGCATTAGGAATGTTTATTTAAATCCTTTTTTTATTTTAAGTGAATCAGATGGGCCGTTATACTCTTCAGTGAATGCACCGAAAAGAGAGTGGAATTTGTATATTTTTCGTCGATTAGCAACGTAAGTTTAAAACATCTATCAAGTATCTGATAATGCAAAAACGATATTGTCTCTTCCACTCTGATGTGGTATAAGATTTTAGTTTCTTAATACTGCTTACAAAGTATAGAGAAGGTGTGTAACTCTGAGGGGAAAACATCAAATTTGCGATAGGAAAACACATTTGCCCAGACTTGGTCACGAAAAGGTGGGTTCTCAAATTTAGTAAATCACTTCCCTCACACTTGTAGTCAGAATCCATGTTCTGTCGGTCCTTGATACTAAAAAATCGATTGACAAAATGATTGAGCGAATGTCTGTCAGTCCGCCTGCCTATCTTTGAACAAAGCTAGCTTCTAAACTCAGCCGATTTTTTTTCAAAATTGATATTCCCCCAATCGACCTGGCTGATGTATCTCTTGAATTTGAAACATATTTTAATTTTAGAAGGTACTTTACACGATGCCCTCCGATAGTGTACAACGACCTCCAATACAACGAACTCCTACAATGACCTCCGATGGCGTTCAGAACGCTCAAGAGGA